TATATATATATATATAAAACTTCTTATAATATAATTTAATATGAACTTCTTGTTTGACCAGGGTTTGTACGTTGTATGAAATAGGTAAGTGACAGTAAGACTCTCATTGTCGAAATGAAACTGGTCAGTGTAATCAGGTGAAAAATTCCTGCGAATTCTCGTCGTCAGTTTAAGAGTGGCTCGTCACGCGACAACGTTGGCTCGCCACTGTATACCAAACTCTTATGTAAGGCTCGTCATGCGAATACATTTGTTTATTTGGGTTATTGCTTAGTTGTTTGTAGAGGGCCGATGTTTTTAGGAAAGCAGCGATACTCATGCGCAACGATACACACGGTTGTGCGCGCGTTAGCGCGGAAATTGAATTACCTTTGTGCGATTGCTGCGATGAAAGCGAGGCCGGATTGTACCATCTTGCAAGCACAGTCTTTCAATTAAACGCAGCTACGAAGTACAATTTACACGTCAAAGGGTAGTCTCGATGGTAACGTTCCCGTTGGTTTTGTTTTGCTTGGACGCTGCCTCATTGATCGTTAAAAAAAAAAAATCGGATGCTGAAATCAGTGAGGCATATTTAATAATTTTAAGAGAAATAATTGAGAAAAGAAGATCGAGAGATTAATGTTTGCTTTATTTTAGTGCGGTAAAGAGAGAGAGAGAAAATTTACTTCAAGTGACAAGATTAAGCTGATCGAGATTATTTCGAAGTTTTTTTTTTTTTTTTTTTTCTTAACAAACACGGAGCGATGAAATGACGAAAGTTGAAGTGTCTCGTTAGAATGTTCTGTGAAAAACTTGTTTGCAATTTAAAGTAAGTCCTCCGTTTGATCGGAAGAAGGAACCGCGAATGCGAAGGGGAACTTCGTGTTCAGGAGATGAGCATGGCTGGCATAAGATTATAGTTTGTTCAGTCGAATCTCGGACGAAACGGGCAGCAGCCCGTGATCAGAATTTTTATGGAAAGACAGTGGCGATTTCACGAATACACGCGCGTTCGCTTCCTGTTCCAAGATTTACGTGCATCACAAATGCTACGCTTCCGCCCACGTTCAATAAAAGTTTTCCGAGACATTCGCACGCCATTTAATCAAGTTAACCCTAGCCTTTGTTCCCAATAACGAACGTGATTCCGTGCCGCTTTGATGATACATGTCCTCATGCAAAATAGAAAAGTTCGAAACATCAAACGTCTAACAGTTTGTTGGAGGAAATTGTATGTACACATAGATTCACAGGATGCGCCGTAAGGTAGTTGATTACACTTTTTTATTGTCGTTGTAGTAATTCTTTAAACTTGAGATAAGGATTTTTATAGCTTGATGTGTCACGTCGAATTAAGATCTCGCACAGGGAAGGTTTCGATCGTGGCAAATATAAATCGCATTAAAATCCGGCTAATCGAATTTAAATGATATTCAGCCTTCATTAAGGCTTCTCATAAGTTCGCACATGTCTTTAACACACGCCGTCATTATCATAACCGTTACAAAGGCTGACACTGTTGTACAAGCGAGAACAATTAAATTAACTGCGTGCAAGCTTTTATCATTGAATATCAATGGTCTTATTGCTATTTAGCTTTGTTTTTGTTATGACCTCGATTGTTTCCACTTTTCACACGAACGTGGTATATAGGTACAGAGGAAGTGCCTTGCGAGAAAGAAAGAAAGAGGAAAGAAATTTTAAAGGATCCTCAAAGCCTTAAAACCATCGGATTAACCTTGCTGTCCTGGTTAATCCTCAAGCCGCGAAACAAGAAAGCGAAAGGTACTAAGAGAAGAAAAGGAGTGTTCAAAAACAAGGTTAAAAACAAGCACGATGAGAAAAAGAAAGGGGAATAGAGAAACGGAATGAAAGAAGAAACGTAAGAAGAGATGAAAAATAAGTGGGGGGGGGGAGAAGTAAGGAGTAAGAAGGGGGCTTTGCTCGCGTCTGAAGACGACCCTCGGTGAAAATGCAATTTCGGTTCTTGTCTGGAGACGACGTAGCTACCATGGCTCATCTTCCTGGCGTCGTACCCCCTTCAACATTGTTGAAGACACAGCCTCTCGTGCACACAGAAGTTCTTCTCTCTGGCATGTTTCAGGAGATGAAAGGCTCCCGTGGCTATCAAAGGGAAAGGGAAGAGAGGCAAAGGCCCCACCCGACAATGGCCCTGAGCTCCAAGGTTTTCAGGCTCGACGTCCAGGCTTCGGAGGTCCAGTCGTCTGATTTCAACCGTCGTGCAAATTCCCATTTCTTCCGACCAGAATCATACCAGGATTGTTTTGCTTTTTAGTCATCCGGGAATTTTCCTAGGGGGAATTTGAAAAATCTCGAGGAATCCAGTTCGACGGATTCCACGGGCTACACATTTTCTACATGTTTTTCTAGGAAAAACGTCGGCGCATTACTCACGGAGGGGAGAAGCATTTCCTCTTTTAACTGTGATTACGAAACGAAGAAAGAAGGCGGTTCTAAATTTACATTGGTTCATTTTGCATCCTCGTCGACGAGGTGAACGTGCTCTCCGATCAGCGACATCTCGCCGCTGAGAACCATCTTCGGCAACGAGAGAACTGGAACGAGGTGTTCGATGAATTTTCTACGAGATGTTTGAGAGCACTGCAAATGATTCAGCGTTTCTGATCGATTGCCGCGAGAGTGAGAGGAAAGACATCGGTAATGCACGTGTCTCGTTTTACATTGTTGCAAATCTTGGATGGAGAACTTTCAGAGTTTCATCTTGCGCTCTTATAAATCAACAAGACTGGGAAATACCTTGAGATCTTTTTAAATAATTCAAATTTATTTCACTTATTACATGAAATGTGATTATATTTCATAATATGAAATGTAATCGTTATATTATGAAATATAATCATGATGTCTTTTCAACTCAAATTATTAAAACTTTTTTAAAAGAAAGGTCAAGAATTAGAAAAAGATCTATTTACAAGATCTACCATATGTATTCAGTAGTTTAACCAGCATAATAAGGCATTTGTATGTTCATCGTGATTTTGATAGTCCTTTTAGCTGGGCCCCCATGCTTTGAAATGAAATGAAGAAAGGCAAGAATATCGTTAACAAATATTACTTTTTTTTCAAATACTTATCATCAATTGTCAACAAGCCACAGTGCAATTTAATACTTTTCTTTTTCTTTTTAGAAGCCATACGCTTGAATCGAGACATAGTAATTCAATTTTAACAGATTAAAAGGATATAGAGATATGTAGATCTTTCTTAAGAATGCATGCACTCAAATGAATCTATCAGTTCTCACTAGAAATACGATGGAAGCACGTGTATACTACGTTGTATACGTCAGAGATGGAAAAGGAAAGAGAAAGAGAGACAGAGGGAGAGAGGAATTCAAATCCAGTCGATGGAAATGTTACTGTAAATCCGCGTCAAGATCATGGCTGACGTCATCCTCTGACGCACCACCATCTGACATATCCTGTACTGTCCATCGAACGTTCAAAGTTACATTTTCTATTGGTAAATAGAAACGTTATCATTTTTCAAACATCGATGCTCATCATTGTAATCACCGAATTACGAATTATTCCATTTACGACCTACAGATATAACAATTCAAATCAAACAGGAAATGTTTGAGTCTGATGAAGAATTTAAAGTAACGATGATTCTTTCAGATTTTTCAGCTACGTATAAACCTTACAGAAAGAAGTCTCATTACTATTGTTTCATTGAAAACAATAATCTTGATAATATGAAACTTCGTATCAAATTAAAATTAACAAAGTGGAGAGAAAAGTTGAAGGTGATTGTGCTTTGATTATTAGGTTGTGTTTGACGTACAAAAAGATTAATAACCGAATAAAAAGAATTTCAGTTGTAAATAAAAACGTATACGAATTGATAATGAAGGGAAAATTAGGCTGAGTAGAAGGATGCAGGAATGATTTGATTATTAATCATTTATTACTGAAAAAAAAAATAGTAGTTTCGATACGTGCTGCCATCTTCACAAGTAGTTGATGCTTCCGGTAAAGTAGAGATCTATAGATTGTAGTGGACAATGATTTAGATGAGAATGGACGGAGCATCTCATCTTTGCAAACTCTGTAACAGGTGTTTTAGCTTCTAGTGGGCAGTTTGCACTACTGATTACACATTAGTGATTACTATCTTCGATATCGAACGTTGTTCTTCTCGTTACCAAAATTGCATTTAGCAAATTGGTAAATTTCTACTTAGTTGTTTGACATCATCTGTTCAACAAAAAAAGGAATAGGATTTTTCAATGTGGTCGCGCTGCAAGGTAAAAGGCGTGCAAAAAAGAATGATCACATAATTTAAAAAGATCAGAAAAGTTAAAGAAATTTCAAATACGTTTGAACACATTTAATCCATGGAGAATGGAATTCGACTAGGATTAAATCCAAACAATTTATCGCTATTTGTAATCAAGAATTTTACTAGACTGCAGGAGAAACTTCCAATTTTGTGCTTTGGAAGCAGAAATAAAATTCCCGTTTCCTTTCTCACGAGCAGGTCATTTTTTTTAGAAACCAAACAAAACCGAGCTTTTTTTTTCAAAGACAGAAAACTTGAAGATGGTATTACGGAATTACTGGTTTTCAGAAATATCGTGGCAAAGGGGGCAGGTGCTTTGTGCAGACGTACAAGTAATACGGAGGTAATATTCAAACATAGAGAAGGAGCAGCCTCTGCGAGCGTGTGAGTGATCACGTCCTGTACTTTCCTAAGCACCTGCGGAGTCAGAACGAATCCGGCAGGTGCAAAAAGGATACGGGAAACCCCGAAGACTTTATGCAATCCTCGCTGAACGGGTAAGTCGGTAGTCGGTGTTGCTATAAAATTGAATTACAACGTGAGAGTTGCGATATCCGACAATTTATCAGTGACTCGCGCAAATTTCAAATAATTATTATTGGTTATTTTATATATATATTTTTTTTTTAATTTATTTAATTTCCATCGAGTTTGAAGAGTTTACTGATCAAACGAAAAAGGAGTAACTTTGTTGCGATAGAGTTGAATACGAGGGTATATTTCATAAGGAAGATATTTCTAAGAGAAGCGTAAAAAAGAGAACAAGCGGTGGTGTTCGAAGCCTGCAAGGTTTGAATGTTTAAAGCGGGTATAGAGCGCGGCGATTTCCCCTGTCGTTTCCCGGGTAACTTCTGCGTCAGCCTTTATCACCGGGAGAAAAAAATTCGTTAGCTTGGCGCGGCCTAGCTTGGCCTGCTTCCAGAACAAGCCGCCAGAGGTCCGACGTTACGTGCGGAGAGCCGAGGCCACGCCGATGAATTTGGTGACGTAAGAGAATAAAACCACCATAAAGGCTTGCTGGTTCATTAGCGCAAACCGCGGAGCATGGCATCCTTGTAGAGAGAGCGAGGTTATAATCCATAGTCTGATCTCAGTGTATATCTGCACAGTATGTATCTTGAAAACGTGCGCTGTGTTGGCACGGGACCCCGATACTCCACCAGAGGATAATAAAACGACGTTTTACGAAACGTTTGCGATTACGAGAAGTTCTCCCGGAACTTTTCATCAGACACTGTCCCGTCTGACACTTTTGTGCATTTTAAACACCGATCGTGCATTAATTACAAAGGGACGAAGCGACAGGAGAGTAGAAAGAGATTAGACACACTGTTCTATTTAGGTGAAACACAAGTAGAATTTATTTCAAAAATTGTTCGTTCCACGCATGCGCAGTAACGTAAACTCTCTATTGTTACGCGATACGAAAAGTGAGATTTGCTAGATTATCGAACGTGAAATTCACTTTGTCATTGTATTTCGCATTAATAATCGCTGCATTTTAATTTATATCGCAAGTGGAATGTATTTTTGTGCGTTATAGGTGTTCTTATGTTTTCCTTTTATTCGTTTAAACATTTGATACACACAATTGTAATTGTTACAGGAAATAGGTTAGTTTTCGAGACGCATTCCGTTTTGAATTATCGAGGCAAAATGAGTCGTCCTGCGGTTGTTCAGTGCCGCAGCGAAACGTAGCAATAAGGAGAGATAATAAACTTGACTTCCACTCGGAGAGGTCGACTAGATAAAAGAAGAGCGAACCTGCGAAATTGATTTTTCTAATTACCGACCGAGACTGCGCCAAGGTAGCGTTCGATCGACCTGCGACCAGTAGATCAGTCGGATACGATAAAGTTTGCAATACGTACGCAAAGAGAAATGATCTAGGCTTCTTCGTTCGATCATTCGCCAAATTACTCTGTCAATCTTTCTCATGAAACTTCCATCAAATCTGCATTGCTACGTAACACCGGATTTTTATACTTTACGCGTAACCTCTTCTATTTTTAAATTCATTGATCGATATGTCAATGCTGTAATTCATTTCCTCCCAATGTTAATAGCATTAACGTTACTTCGTAAATTCACTTGTGACACGATACAAAAGTATTCCTTATGATTTTCCTCCCTATTATCTTTTCACGATTCTTAGAAGATGAGATTCAGTTTCTTCAAACTGAAAACCGTAAACCTAACCTAAATCTAACCAAATTTTAGAAAGAAACTGACAGAAGCTCTGTACTTTAATTATGTGTATCGTAGTTTTCGCGTGTGAATTTTCAGGTATTTTCAGAGAATATAGGTATGGATAATTTCCGGAAATTAAAGAAGCAGCTTCGTCGAGGAATTTGCGAACGAGACGCGACAATGGCATTTGAAATAACACACAGCATGTGTGTATCCCACATATCGTATGTGAATCGATAGTGGTTCGTATCCAGCGTTGCGTAAAATGACGTCAATTGACGCGTAAGAATTATGTGTGTGAGAAAGCTGGCCGTAATCGTGATCGACTATTTTATTAGTAAATTATTGAATTTTTACTTTCAGAAATTTATTTTTCTTTTTTTTTTTTCTTAATTTTTTCCTATTTGAAGGTTATACCCTAACTCTGAAAAATGTAGAGTTCGTATAGATTTCATTATTTAACCTGTTGACAGAAGACACATTGTTATACGTACTTGAGATATAGTACGTAGTACGCATTTATATTCTAGGTGAATTGAAATTGATTCACAATGATCAATTTTTAATTCTGTGGCTAAAGAAGTTTCGGACTGACCCAGTTACAACAGGTTACAAAATATCTCTTCGACCATTCAAATTTTCCATTTCTCAGTCAGATATTAAATTAAATTAAGAAATAACGTACTGCTTTCAGAAATCATGTTTTATCAATTACCCTTCTCATTGGAGGATCGTGTGAAAGGCAAGTGAATAAAGGAGAAGTGAGGTGCAAACAAAATTCAGCACCTCACCTTGTGCTGCAATTGAAAAAACAACGAGGCACATGATTGATGAAAATTCCTTTGTCAAATCACTTGATGAAACCATCGTGTTTCTCATACCTTTTTATTTATTACAGAATATTCGTCACGTTCCACTCACAAGTAGATACAATTCCCTGCAAAGAAGTTTCACAGTTGAAGAAGTCGTACACCGTAAACTAAAAAAGGAATTTCTGAAGTTTAAATCAGGATTAACTACGAAATGGAAAATATTCTATAAACTATGTTTTGGCGCCACCGTTGTTATACAATTAAGATTTTAATAGAACTCGCATGCCGGTGAATCTGCGCGCGGCGCTTCTCTTTGTTGCGCTTAACTCTGTTTCCTCGATCCCGGTGAACTCTTTCGCCGGCCAGACCGAACACACCGCATCCCTCAACGGGTTAATTCCATTTCTGCTGTGTACAACACGCGAGTCGAAGACGCATGCATCGCGAAAGAAACCTGCCACCGTATCATATGCATATGTATGCACCTGTGCACTGTGTTGCCTCTGTCGAACGTCGAAAGAATATTCAGTGTCAAACGTCAGCGATTTGTTTTCACGATGGCACGAACGGCACGGTTGCACAACGCCGTTTTATCGCTGACGAATGTTATTGGCTGTGCTCGTGATCGGCGTGAACGCAATATCTTCACGGGACGGGCCGTCGAGCGAGCCGATTTTAAAAATCAATTCATCTGTACGCGCCTGCGGGTAACGGTCGATGTCCAGCTTTTAATACGTCGTTAAGATTGAGTGCTCGGCTGAACGACCGCGTTTCCAATGCAGGAAAGTATCAATATGTTTCAACGATACTTTGATGATACAACGCGACTACACGAAGCATTTTTGGTAATTAAATTGATCGAAGCAAATAAGAAAGTAATTGAACGTTGGAGTGTTCATTCTGAGTCTGATTTAAAAAAAATTTTTTTTTCCTTATCATGAAATATTGCATTTTAGAGATTTGTGAAAACTGCCTTTTTTTAGAAATACATGAAACATTAACCCTCAATGATCGCGCAGAAAAATATTATAGTGACTGGCACAACTTACATGCAAAGAAGCAAAGATTTTATTTTTGAGGTATCTCTAGATAACGAAACAATCTCAGGCTCAAAACGCCACACTCGTAACAAAACTACGAACAGGCAGAACAATTATTTCCCTCTGAAATACTCGAAGGTACACACTCACGAGTGAATTGTCTGCTACATCCACTAGAAACGTTTAATCTCTATAGTAAAAGATGAACGTTGTTAAAGACTTTTAGATACATATTTGGAGTGCACGCTGCGAAATACGTACCAGCCGGCCGATCGAGAACGCATTATCTTATCATTAGCCAACAAGCCAACTTCTCCGTCCGAACGCATGTTCCAGTATACAGGAGATAACATTTCGCCTCGTGGCCAATGAGATTCTATTTGAGATCCCGCTCGCTCGGTTGTGGGGAAATCAGAATCCGGAATACGAGACATGCAACTCGATCTTGCGCTCATCTCGATTTCAGTCTCCCTTCCGATCAAATGCCGCTTCTTGGCTATCTGCGATCTTGCTGAACGAGTCCTCTAGGCTCGGTCATCCAAACATATCTTATACACGGTGTTATATATTTTCATATATTAGTGTAAC